CAATTGTTATCAACGCAGCAGAATAAAGGATAAAGGATTTGCGCTTCTCTGTATGGTATTTTCCCCCATTTTCTCTCTTCCTTTTCGTGAATTTTCTATGTAGGTATGGGTATGAGGTATATGGATGCCACTTAGCATGGCCCATGTGGAAGAGAACTCGTCGGAACTTGGCTAAGGAAAAGGAAATGAAAGCAGTGAGGAATGGAGCATGACAGAAACAACAACGGAGGTGGGAAAGGAGAGGGGACCAGGAAAAAGGGAAAATATTTAAGAGCGTAGGGTGAGGAAGGGGGGGTAAGGTCGATACGCCCGTATACTCCTACAGCCTTTCATGATCGTCGACCGCCCCACTTGACCAACCTACGGCGCATCCTGATGTGCCATTGGTCCTTCCGCCTAAGCAGCCTACATCCAATTCCTATGACGAACTACCCTGCTGAAAAACCTCATGAGATTTTCGGACAGAGGTCTCATGAGAATGATCTCATGAATTTTGAAACAGATATTTCATGATGTTGACTTCATGGGGGTTTTCGCATAGAGGCGCCACTTGCCTCGTGGCCCAATAGCCACGACATGTCTCTTGTGACTCAGCTTGGAAGGTCCTACGAGTCCTTAAAAGAGAAGTAACCATATGCGAAATAACATATATGTTTAAACAAGTCATTTATTCCATCTTCAATACGTCATTCCATCCTGTAGGCCAGAATTGTCTGAAGCCTATCTCTATAGGGCTATCTCTTCGAACAAGTGTTTTTAGAAAATCAAATATCGCTCACTATGTTCAATGTAGAAATAAAAATGCATACAACGTGGCGAGTACAGGAGAGATATTCCAGTGAGATCAGGGCATTCATCCCATCACAGCGGCTATACAGTCGCCATCTTGCGTCGGTTGTGCACTGCAGAAGAAACCTCATGAATCCTCTTGAGGTTTTCGAACAAGAAGTCTCATGAGGCCTCGATCCTCATGAAAACGTTTCGAAGCCTCATGTGGAACCGCACAATTCTCATGAGAAAGTCGTGAAGACTCATGAGACCTCATGAGTTTGTAGTGAGGTTTTTTCAGCATGGTAGCAATTCGGGGATAAATACGCAGCCTCAAAAAGGATATACGAAGGTGGTTCATATGAAAACAGCAAAAGTTAAATTAAACATTATTTATTAAACCCTAGGTTAAGGAACCTCTTTACTTTTCAACAAATCTCCTGCCCTTTCAATACACTTATTCCATCGCGAAACTAATGCCTGGATTCCGTCCGAGAAGAATTTATTTGCTTGCTGAGCCACTCATGCATCGCTGTTCGAACCTCGTCGTCAGAGTGGAAATGCTTTCCACTTAATGCCTGAGTGGTCCAAAAAGTCACTTGGAGCAAAGTCAGGAGAATACAGGTAAGGGGGGTGTGGTACCACTTCAAAATGCAGATCTTTAATGGTGTCGACAGTTGCACTGGCACTGTGAGGACGGGCGTTGTCGTGCTGTAAATAAACCCTTTTGAGATCAACCCTCGACGTTTGGTCCGGATTGCAGGCTTCAGATGGCTCTTAAGCATATCGCAGTACTAAGCACTGTTGGCAGTTGTCCCCTTCTTCATGTAACTCTCCGAAATAACTCATTTTTATGATTACCGAGCTACATATGATAGAACATCCTTTGCTTCAATGTGATGGCGAAAGCCGACTTCGTAGGAAGTAATCCCCGATAGTTGTTTGTTTCATTTGACCCCTCTTCCTGGGATTCTTCTCAGTTGAGGGTTTAGGGTCAGGTTTGGGTGCTTGGCTCATGGGATCCGACGGTAAGCTGGAAGATGCTCTTTCTTGTAGCCTGTATGCAACATATACCACATAACCAGCATGACCACTTTCACTCCTTCCACCAGGAGTAAAACTGGTATTTGCAACTCTCCGGTCACGTTTTTCCCAGAGAAAATGCTGTTGAAGTTGGACTTCCAAAGTGAGAGCTAGCTGTTCCTGGTCTAACCAAGAAACACTGCCTCCAGGTAACATCGGCCGAGTGATCGCTGCTATAACAACTAAACCATGGTGGTTTTCTTTTTTATAATCGCTCCATCTACTACTGATCCCACCCACTCTCCAAGTTTTTGGACTTGTTGGGTTAAACGCAAAGTTCGCTCTGGTCTTGATGTACGTTTTCCCGATCGTAAATGATGTAACCGTTTTGTCTGATTGCAGTTCGATTTCACCAAGTATCGAATTAATCTTTCCGATGAGAAGTTTCACAGCTTCATGTATCGGGTATTCCTTCTGCCAAAGGGATGGCCAGTCAAGTTTTTTCAAATCAACTCCGTAACATGGGTTCCCCCTGTACAGAAAATCTGCGTCTTGAAGGCCTCTTGTAGTTGCTGTTGCAGAGGAGGGAGGGTAAGCCATCTCTCCTCACTCGAACTCTCCTCACTCCTCACTCACTCCTAGTAAATAAATCGGATAAGATAGCGGATAAAAGTCTCCCATCAAGAGGGTGTTGCTTCACAATTTTCAAGGTTTAACTATTTAAGCATAGAAATATTTTGGTTTTCGCACCCCTACCCTCTATTGTGTCATTTCACGATGATATCATCGAAAAAGCTTTCGGGACTGGTTCTTTTTTTCCATCCTGCAAGATTAGGGTTAGTCATTAGTATACAAATGAGCACCTAAACAACATGCATAGCGAGAGGGAAATGAATTTAAGAGGTGCATGAATATTAGCCGGTAAAATGACAGTGACAAGATAATTCTATTCCGTAGATCCTTTGCCTTGGAACATCGTTGCATGAAGCATCTTTAAAATAGAGTAAAACCATTTGGAAGAGAGTTTTTTTGCAAAGCTCAAGACCGAACCGGCCAACAATTTAAGTTGAACCAGAGCGATGTGATTCAGAGCACTCTCACTTTCACTCTTTGCTTTTAAAAACAACTGGAACTGGGAACTGCCGAAACAGAAACAAGAGACAGTTGGGGGTCAAGTTTTCACCCGTCAACATGTACTACGCTTGAATAATACAACATAAGGAAAGGGTTCTTGAGCAGAAAGCGATGGAATATTTACATATCGCAGTGCATGGGATTCAACTAGGTCTATATGCTTAAAATCAGTACAGACCGCGTGACCAGGAATATGAGAAGACTTGAATTTTTTATTGCACTTCAACATAAAACGACGCTATTTGAACTGATTTTTTAAAACTTATTTCATAGTAGTGGCCTTTCTTGATGCCAAGTTTCAAACGCCACATGGGTTCTTTGAGGTTTTCGAATAAGGGTCTCATAAGGTCTCACGACTTTCTCATGAAATTTCATCAGAACCTATGAGAACTCATGAGTTTATAATGATGTTTCTTCAGCAGGGTGGGGCAGATATTATTGCCTGGTAATGAGGAAATCAAGGAAAGGGTACGCATACAACTCGAGTGATTGATGCTGAATACATCCACGGTATGTGCCACAAATTTTGCATTTCTAAAACAAATATGAACGTAAGAAAGTCAAATGCGACAAGGAAGGTCAAATGTGTCGCTATGCTGGATGCCAGACTTAAGGAAAAAGCTTGTTAGACTTAAGAAAGTCAAATGTGACAGTCGAATTTCTTAGTCGTGCCACAAGACGTGTACTCTCTCGGATTTTCATTCTAGTTACTGTCTCATCATGAAAATTCACGAATCATCATTCATTGTACTGTCAATCTTTTCACGTCAGATTATGAATAATGGAAGTTATTGACTATAGCCAAGGATGTCGATATGCTGTCATTGTCAGAGTAGGACTCGGACTGTGTCATCAAAAAATTGCGGACGAAGTAAATTTGGGCATCACAAGAAATGCAAATGTCAAATCGATGCCCAATGCTTCTCCTTGACCAGTATGCAATTATCACAGCCGATTCCTCACATTACCAGGCACCTGAAATAAATCATCTCACATCTGAATGGAGATTCCGATTTGAACAGTTTAATGTGTAAGGACGCCAACTTTTCACTGACTGCACCGGGAGACCTGCAGCCAGCGCGGCCCTTTTTATCCTGGGCGACGGCCGAGCCAGTATGAATTTTTCTTAGTTGTGGCATCATCATGTTTCCATGAGTGTGAGGACCTGGCAGGTGAGGCGCATGCGCCACATCCACCTGTTGCACTGGGTGCACATGGTGATCCTCTGATCCATGGGGCACCACGGCCGTTGGACTGTCGAGAGTCTCATCCGCCCTTTTATCGGTGAAGTGCCCAGCACCGCCTGAGGCAAGCAGCTCGATCTTCCCATGTCATCCATCCCATGTCAGACTGGCCCGGTAGGCCAGTCTGATCCTGCAGGGCATGTAATCTTACGTAAGCAGTGATGCCAATAACATTTTAAGGCTACACCAGTAAACCTAAGATTTATATACGCGTACTAAGGACGTATCATTCATATGATTCTTTGTGGGAGTTTCGCTGTTTTCAGTTGACTGGCCCTATTATAAAAAAAATACGTTTTTGTCTATTTTTCAATCACTATGGTCACTTTGCCCCCCCTTCACCTTTGAAGAAGGGATATCGGTATTTTACTTATGAGTACTACTATCAAGAACTAAAAAGAGTTCATCTGTATTTAAAACAGATATATTTAGAACATACCATTCTCGTAAAAGACTATTCTTTCGACTATTACGAAGCTCGTGAAGAAATATCAATACTATAGAACACTATAGAAAAATAACACTATAGAAAAATAACACTATGCACTATAGAAAAAATGTTGGCTCCAAAAACACTTGATAATAGCCTTTACGTATAACCAAAACTGTGAGCTAGTTTAATCGAGCTGAATTCCATAGATTATGCAGGATCTAGAACAGGACAAAAACAAAGTTATATTCATTGCACTGTCAAATCATACGGGAACTCTTCAAACAGGGCAGGAATATGTGAGAATATGCTATAAATCCATTGATCCCGCTGTCTGATTATTATCCTTGCTCCATAATCCCGCAATCATAATCTCGTTTTTATTCTCTCACAGGGGATTTATGCACTTGGGAGCTGGCGTTACAGTTGGACTGACGGGTCTGGCAGCCGGTTATGCCACTGGCATTGCGGGAGATGTAGGAGTAAGGAGTACGGCACAGCAACCTCGATTCTTTGTTGGGATGATCCTCATTCAAGTCTTTGCTGGAGCGATGGCTCTTTACGGACTCATTGTGGCCCTTCTCCTATACACCCTCACCACCAAGTAGATCATCGATGGGCAGAGATTGATGATACGTGGACTCGCAGCGCCATTTTCATGTCCTCCATTTAAATTCATAACTTGAGGTGCATTCTTAATTTCCCTGATTCAGCTCTTATCCTCCGTCCTTCATTCATTCGTTGCCTCTTCAATTGCATATCAAGCAGTGAGTTGGGTTAATGATCCTATGATCGGAACAGATTGTATATCTTCCAAGTACCAGGTCACGTTTAACCCTTTCAGTCCTACTTTAGTGAAAAATAAACCGGAGATTTGGATTTCTTGCAACACACTCTTGAAGATTACCTTCATTTATATCCACAGTTCAAATTTTGGCAAATACGATTTTCATAACTTTTTTTTTTTACACAATGGGACTCCTTGAACAGAGACAAGGTTGAATCGTAGTTTAGGCATTGCCGCACAGGCGTAGAATTTATAGGCAAAAGTGAAGGGATTCCAGAGTCCCGCCAGGAACGAAAGGGTTAATGATTCTCCCGATTTCAATCCTCATCCACCACGTGCCGTTGTCGTTTTGACTGTCAGAGACAGAATAGATCAGTTCACCACATGAATAATTCTATAATATCAAGTGATAACATGAATAATTTTTTCGTCTTTATCAGGAATCTGGTTGTTCCTATGCACGTAGTATTCACTATCAATGAAAATTCCCATTTATTCATGTCTGAACTGCCTATTCGGTCTAAATTAATGGTTTTACTGGTGTTGCTTTGGTTCTTATTTCCCCCTTTCTGCTTTCGTAATTCGCCTTGGCTGTAGTCCTTATGAAATGAAACCTTTCTTGTGTATTTGGTTCTGAGATCATCACGTCACTGGTCAGGAAGCAGGACCACCTGACTTTTGACATTCTCAGGCTGAGATGATGATGATGATGATGCCAGTTGGCAGGGATTGTATAATTTTTCAAATTTTGTGATATTTTTATTCCATATTTAATGATTCTGTGCTCTGAAAAATTTTACTGTGGAAGCAGGAGTCACTATGTTGAATTAATGACAATGTCTCATCTCTCAAGCAAGACAGATGACACTGTTATAGCAGTTCATGTCATGCAATCGTGTTGGTCATCGTCTTATGAGGTGCTTGTGTCAAGACAGAGAATGTTATCATATGTACATATAGAAATAAAAGAAGCAATATCCCCGTGAAAAAATTTTCAATCTAAGATCACGATCTCAAGGATTCCTACACTAGTATTCAAAATAATTGCATCATCTTGGATTTTTCACATTTCCTCGACTTAGGTGTTGCAATACATAAATATTTCTTACGAAATGTTGATCAGTTATTGCATTAGCCTTCATTTACCCAAAAGGGTCTCATTTTGTCGAAAGTAAGCCAGTTTTGTCCAACGAGAGCGGGGATAGTCATTTTGAGTAATTTAGCCTTCATTTTTGCTTTTAGTGTGATAACAACATAGGAAACGGTATTAACTACTCAGAAGAAAAGGTTGACGCTTGCTTTGGTGGAGGAAAGGGGCTACCTACATGCCAGGTTGCTGCCAGAATCATTTTCCACCAATCGTCAGTTTCTCACTTGTATCAGAAACTGTGAGTCAGGAGATGCCCTGCGCCACAAAGGTTGTAGCCTCAAGGGTCTGTCTGTATATCAACATTATCGTCCTTTAAAAAGTCTGCGCTGCAGAAAAAGTCCAGCAACGTCAGCTGAAGTGGGAAAAAAAAAACTTGGAAGTCGACACCATACCGAATATGTCATATTCATAATAAAATTTCTATGGCATATGGTATCATTAAATCTGAGTCACCCTGTACAAGGAACGAAATCGGAAACGGGAAGTGTTTCTGATCCTCACATTTCTGAGTGACTTTTGATGAGAACCCTCTGGATCCATGTATTAGACGAACTTAGGAATTCGTTTCCCAAAATAAGTTCTGATTCAAAACTTAGAACAAACATGAAAATATTCTTAATGAAGTGATCTAGAAGCAAGATTGTCAAGACGTTTCCTGCAAAACTTCTCAGTAGGAATATTTTTCATGATGTGCTTTGATCAAGAGTCATCGCATGGTTCTAGAGCTGGGAATATTTAGAAAATAATTGGCTTTTTTTCTTTAAACAAATCATGCATAAGGTAAAGCCATCTACGTTCGAGCAATTACCAAGTTCGGACACTTTTACACGAACCAGGTATGCTGAGGAAAGTGATTCNGGACTCTGATGTACCCTGCTCGGAGCCTATCTGCGCGGAGAATAGTCTCGTCATGGAGGAAGTCCGATGAAGCGATGGAAGGAAACTTCCCATTCCTAAAGAATGGAAAGTTTCCTGGCGCTGATGACATCCGGAAAGATGCACAGAAAGCAATGGGCACCGAAGTGTGCTCGTGGATGCATGGGGTAACTTATGTTGAACCGCAGGGGAATTGGGGACGGCACCAATGGATTGGCTGGTGTGTTGGTTCCTCTTTTCAAGAAGGGGGACTCGAGAGAGTGCACCAAAATTACTGCGGAATCACTTTCCTCAGCATACCTGGTTCGTGTAAAAGTGTCCGAACTTGGTAATTGCTCGAACGTAGATGGCTTTACCTTATGCATGATTTGTTTAAAGAAAAAAAGCCAATTATTTTCTAAATATTCCCAGCTCTAGAACCATGCGATGACTCTTGATCAAAGCACATCATGAAAAATATTCCTACTGAGAAGTTTTGCAGGAAACGTCTTGACAATCTTGCTTCTAGATCACTTCATTAAGAATATTTTCATGTTTGTTCTAAGTTTTGAATCAGAACTTATTTTGGGAAACGAATTCCTAAGTTCGTCTAATACATGGATCCAGAGGGTTCTCATCAAAAGTCACTCAGAAATGTGAGGATCAGAAACACTTCCCGTTTCCGATTTCGTTCCTTGTACAGGGTGACTCAGATTTAATGATACCATATGCCATAGAAATTTTATTATGAATATGACATCATATTCGGTATGAACAGACGCTACAGTCTGGAGATGACACGAGGGGCAGGATTGTCCATGCTCTCATTATTGTTTGAATACTACACTTCCAAAATGAGCACCCTTTAAGTCAAGATATTCACGACAGCATGCAATTAAATTTGTCCATCGCCTTCCACAAAGTCTCGTTGAGAATGGACTGCACGGCCTCGGTGATGTTGTCCTTAAGTGCTGCCAGTGTTGCAAGACGGTTTTGGTACACAACGGACTTCAGGTAGCCCCAGAGAAAGAATTCCGGACAGGAACATATTCATATTAATTTTAGAGATTTACTTGAGTGGCTATCAGCCACTTCAGACTTTTTCACTGAAAGTGAAATTTTCCGAGAAATTTTTCCGACAAAACTTGAGCTCCTTCATTCATCGTAAACGTCGATGAATTTGTATGGTTCATCTTGAAATATTCTTTTAACAATTTTTTCATTACAGGGTTGCATGCTAGCAAACCAAAGGAAAAGTCATATCCTATTTTTTTTATAAATGAAATAAACACTGCTGAATTGAGCAAAGCACATACTTCTAAGACTGGAGATGATGGAATAAAGAAATCTCACATGGGTTGAGGTTGAACTTCCACGGATGAGGTAAGAAATCGTTTGTGGGCCTACGACGACGTGGCGATCTAAGAATAACATCTGAATCTGCTATGAAACGGCCACTACGTCAAACATTTGGCGGATTCATATCCAGCAAAGGAATCGGACATTTGAAGACTATAAAAAGGCACGGTGAAAGTAGCAGATTACAGAAGAAAGGCAACTTTTGGCCATGAACTTAGGCAATTTCGACTCGCCGACTAACTGCATCTTTCAGGACGAGTCACTCAGTACCTTGCCAAAGTGCGAAACTGGTAACTCATCTCCGAACTATTGCTTTTATAAATTTGAACACAGTTGATAATTTAAATCAGTAAGCGTATTTTGTTTCTTTCTATAGGTATTTTGCAAATATGAAATGCATTTTCCATATGTTTCGGCTGAAAACAGGGTAAAACCATTTAAGTTCGGGCAACACCTAAGTTCGAACACCGTGAAATGAATTGTTATAAAACAGTACTTGCGAGATCACTTTTAGAAACAGCTCTTCCAAGCTGCGAAGAACTGTTTCTGAGGGAGAGCTCACAAATGCTCAGTTTTGCAAAGATGTGATTCCCATACATCGTTACAAAACCAATTGTCTGAACATAGGTATCGTCCAAACTTAGATGGTTTTACCCTACCTAGAATCAAGTGGACTGAGGTTACTACCATGGCCAAGAAGTAATCTCGCTGGGCAGAAAGTAACAGAAGCCTACTAGCTTGATACGTCTCCGGTACTACAAATGTTTCTTAGCTACAATATTTAGAAAATAATTGGCTTTTTTTCTTTAAACAAATCATGCATAAGGTAAAGCCATCTACGTTCGAGCAATTACCAAGTTCGGACACTTTTACACGAACCAGGTATGCTGAGGAAAGTGATTCCGCAGTAATTTTGGTGCACTCTCTCGAGTCCCCCTTCTTGAAAAGAGGAACCAACACACCAGCCAATCCATTGGTGCCGTCCCCAATTCCCCTGCGGTTCAACATAAGTTACCCCATGCATCCACGAGCACACTTCGGTGCCCATTGCTTTCTGTGCATCTTTCCGGATGTCATCAGCGCCAGGAAACTTTCCATTCTTTAGGAATGGGAAGTTTCCTTCCATCGCTTCATCGGACTTCCTCCATGACGAGACTATTCTCCGCGCAGATAGGCTCCGAGCAGGGTACATCAGAGTCCACTGTGAGTGGGTTTAAGAACTTCTCAAAAAGTTCTACCCACATTCCAAGTATTTCCGCTTTAGCCGTCAAGACATTCCCGCATCAGGCTTTCACGACCTGGAGAGTATGTTGCCTACTTCGCCGGGAGTCTTCGAATGGTTTGCCAGAACACCTTGTTTGCAGTACGTTAGTCATGTTCTATTTCTTCGTCGAATTTCTTTCGTGGCTCTCGTTCGTTTTGGTTAAGTCTCAAACAAATACGATTTCTAAATAACT